ACCACAAATCTCCTAAAACAAACCACAAACCTCACAAAGCAAACCACAACATTTGCGAAAGCACACCAGAAACCTCCTAATGCAAACCACAAACACGATAAAGCAAACCACAAAAACAAACCAAAAACGTCCTAATGCAGACCAAAAATATATTAAAACAAACCAGAAACCTCAGAAAGCAAACCACAGAATTTTCAAAAACACACCAGAAACCTCTTAATGCAAACCACAAACACGATAAAGCAAACCACAAAAACAAACCAGAAACGTCCTAATGCAGACCACAAATCTCCTAAAACAAACCACAAACCCCTCAATGCAAACCACAAAATATTTGAAAGCAAACCAGAAACTTCTCAATGCAAACCACAAACACGATAAAGCAAACCAGAAACTTCTCAATGCAAACCACAAACGCGATAAAGCAAACCACAAAAGGCATACAAAAATGTGAGAAACCAAACCATAAATCTCACAATGCAGACCATAACATCCGGTGGTCGTTGGCCGTTGACCGGTCAACGAAGACCGTTGACCGGTCAACAAAACCCGTTGACCAAACTCCGATGACCGTCAGTGAGTAGATTCCGGCGCCGATAAGCATATTCCGGCCCCGATGACTAGATTCCGACGCCGATAAGCATATTCCGACCACGGTGAGCATATTCCGACGACGGTGGCATATTCCGATGACAAAATAGCATATTCCGGCGATAAAAAAGCATATTCCGGTGATCGGCGACCAGATTCCGGCGACCGGTGGCCGAATTCCGGCGACCAAAATTTTGGTCCGAAAATAAAAAAAATATTTTTTTATTTTTTTATTTTTTTTATTTTTTTATTATTATTTAAACATATTTTTCATAATGACAATTATACCCCTGCTTTGATTTTACACTAGGTCAACTCATCTAATAAAAAGTCATCACAACCCTAGCTTCCTATTGGTTGGAGACTAGTGTTGTTACAATAACAACACAAGGGGTGTTGTTATAGTATCTAGTCCCTTAATATATATAGAAGAAGTTGAGTTATTGTTGCCTAATCTTGCAAGTTGATTGAGCAACTATCATTTTTACATTTTCATACCCAAATTTAATTAAATTACAACTTAGTTACTATAATATACATTTTACATTTTGATACTCCAAATATAATTTCAATATAAAATTATTGAGCAATTATGTTTTGTAATATAAATTTTATGAGCTTTTTGTACCAACAATTTTAAAAAAAAAAAATTACATATTGGTTTAATGTTTAGATTTCACTTGAATCCATGAATCCAATCCACCAATCCTTTTGAATCAATCCATGAATCCAATCTACAATAACAAAAAATTTAAATTTAGTTTGTACCATACAAGATGTTGTATCACTAAACTGAAGAAGAAGATTCGACCATTTTATATTTGCTCATTGCGTGAAACATTAAATAAATTATAAAAGTGAGACGACTTTAAAATATTACAAGAGCGATTTTATAAACTCATTTAGTACATTTACGTGGTACTAAACAAACTTCTACTAACTACATGCAACAAAATAGGAGACATCTACATAAGCAAGTGTCAATAAATTGCTACGGTGAAAATGGTTGACTGTTGTATGGCCAGCTAAATGAATTGGTCAAAACTTTTTCCATCATCTACTTGCTTTTCGTTTCATTTTTCACTCGTCTTCCGTAACTCTTTATTTATTTCTTTCTTTGCCTTCTTCATCTAACCGTAATTAGTATACAATCTTTATGTATTCTAATCACAAGTATGAACGGGTCCATACGACTTACCAACATTCTAGAGAATTAATAATTGAACCATGAACCATTAACTTTTTCAGCTCAGTGTCGAGTTCAAATAAAAATAAATAAATAAGATTATTACTTATTAGAAAGTAATTATTTTCCACTATGAGATTTGAAAGCGTGAAATTTAAGCGAGTTCCAGTTTGTATTCATTTTGCTTCTCTCTAAAGTTTTTCTTTTTCACCCAAGCTATAATTTTCGACAATTATATATGGAATGTTTGGCTAGGTATCTATACATATCAAATAATAGTTTCCATTTTTCTATAAAAAAATTAAATAATTATCATCTTAAATACATCACCATAAAGAAATTAAGCCTCAAATATACAAATTACAGTTCGATACCTAAACTTAATAGATTTTTAGGTTTATAACCTAAATTTAATTTTTTGGCACATAAGTCCCCAAAATATTGATTGAACATTACATTTTATTATCTAATTTTTTTTTTAATAATGGTGAAATAAATTGAATAAAAAAGAGTCCTTACAAGAGGGGAAGGGAACAAAGGAACAAAGGCAAAGCAAAGAACAGGCAAGGACAACAAACGTGCCAGCACCCAGGAGCAAACAGGAAACACAAACACAAACAGCAAAACAAAGCCAAACAGGCAGCAGTAAAGCCAAACAGCGCCCAGAAACGCAGCAGCAATAAAACAAACTAAAGCTGCAAGAGATTAGAAGTCTGCATATATCTGGGAAGGAGGCGGAGTTTCAGATGCTGAAGCCAACCATCCGCCAAAGCTCGGTCCACCTTGCCTCCCGCCGTAAGCCAACAAGCAATATCTCTAGCAATTCGAAAACAAATGGTTCTTGTCGAAACCTTCTCATCCTGAAAATTTCTAGCATTCCTTTCGAGCCAAACTCTCCAACAAAAAGCATGCAGCGCAACCTTAGTGCACCACTCCGATGGGTTGTTCGGCTTGGCTCTACTCCACGAAACAACAAGGACCTTGAAATCACAAATGTCACAGACCCTTGAATTAAACTTTACGAAGGCAGCCAACATCATCCAAACTTCCTTGGTGAACTTGCAGGAGATGAAAAGGTGATCGATGGTTTCCTCGGAGTCTTCACACAACGAGCATCTACTCGGAAAAACCCAGCCTCTCCTCTTCAAAGCATCATGGGTGAGGATCTTCTTCTGTACAGCAATCCACATGAACACACACACTTTGTGGGGAATCACCGACTGCCACACCACATCACAGGGGAAATCCGCCACACCAGGGAAGCGCTCACGCAGTAATTCTCTGTAACAGGACCGCGCCGAGTAGCCCAAGGAGGGGGAGGGCAGCCAAACCACTCTAGCAGGACCTACAAAACATATGTTAGGTGGAAGATGATTAAGAAGCTCATACAACCTCACCCTCTCACTCTCAGCCCCCCCTCTCAAGATATGTTTCAGAGGAATGACCCAATTAACTCTCCCTTCTTCAAAAATTGCAGCATCTGAGATCCGACATCCTGGCACTTCCGTGGCAGCAACAACTCTGGGAAAGTCACTGGCCAGAGTCCTACCCTTCAACCACACATCAAACCAAAGAGAAGTACCGGAACCTGCTCCAGGATCAATATGCGCCAAATTCCAGAAGATTTTCTTCAGTTTCAGGATCTGTCTCCAAGGGCTAAGCCTTGCGCCGCCTCCGGGATCACCCGGCATCCATTCTGAAACCGGATTAGGAAATTTAATATTGATCATTTCCCTCCACCAAGAATCTCTTTCCTGTGCAAATCGCCACCACCATTTACAAAGAAGAGATTGATTTCGAGTTCTAATATCAGTAATCCCCAACCCTCCAAGACATTTTGGTGCTTTGCATCTATCCCAAGACACAAGGTGAAGTTTCTTCTCACCACTCGAACCAGACCAGATGAAATTTCTTTGAATTTTTTCAAGGGCTTCGATCACTGATATTGGAGCCGAGAATAAGCTTAGCATATAAACCGGAGTAGCATCCAGGACGGCATTGCAGAGAGTAATCCTGCCAGCCAGGGATGGGTACTTGCTCCTCCACCCTTCCAGTCGATTCTCAACCTTACAAATAACCTGATTCCTAATTGAGGCACTCTTAGGAGAAGCCCCAAGGGGCGGACCTAGGTAGTTCGAGGAAAAAAATTTCCAGTTACAGCCCATGATCTCAGCCAGCCTGTCCATACCCTCCACATCCCCAACCGGGAAGAGCATGCTTTTCGCAAGGTTCACCCTCAAGCCCGTGATACACTGGAAGCAGACGAGCACAGCAGCAAGATTAAAAACATCATCTTCTGTTGCATCGCAAAAACTTATCGCATCATCCGCGTATAACAGATGATTGATTCCACATGGATGTATCTAAAATTTTTGTGTATGACATTTTGGTGCCTAAACTTTTGAAGTTCTACAAATATGTCTAATTTTTGTATGTGTAATTAAAACACCCTCGAATAAATGGGTATCCATACCCAACTCATACACATTTAGATTATGTAAGTACATATTCATACCCTATCCAAACTCATCTACAAACTTTCAAACCCATATATACGTCACCCATACGCTACCCATAATCAATGAGTCTACTTGGGTTTAGGTAAATATCATTTATAAGCCAAAATTTTCAAAAAAATTTAAATAGGATGTTGACCGCCATATATCTCTTCTCGGTTAATATCATATTGTCTAGTCAATATTACCAACAAAACTGCTAACAAAAAATTAATTTTAGACTAATAATACAAACAAACACCATAACGGGTCACATAATACATGCTCATATACCATCTCCGCCCCGCGACAAAGCGCGGCATCGCCACCTAGTTTATCTAATTTTTGGCAAAAATGTATCTCTGTATTTGATTACTATTTGAGCTTAATGGGCCTATATGCATTTAGTGGTGAATAAAGTTGTATTCTGGACGACGTATAATGTTGTTCATTTTTATTCATTCACATGACCATAATAATTTTTTTTATTTATTTCAGCAACCACATCAATGTTGATTTTGTCACTTAATCTTCATTAGTTAATGGAACAGAGTAGGTTGCACCTGAGAAATGGTTTTATATTGCCCAAAAATGGTGTCATCTCAGTCATGGTTCGATCTGGTTGTTTTTTGAATGAGACATTAAACTTGAGAGGTAATGAAAGGCACCATGGAGATTTAATTGATAAATTCCCATAGTAAAATAAGTTTTAAATATTTAAATACATTGGGACCTTACTCTGCACATTTACATTTTCAACACATAATCCATGCAACCATAAAACAAAAGGTCACAAGCCAATTGAGAAGCCATATAAATAGTACATAAGACTGTTATAGGTACAATTTGGATAACATTTGCACACAAACTCGGTACAAATTCACACCAGCAGCGCACTATCTTCCCAGCAACAGTTCTTTGGAGCTTGAATCAGATATTATTTAGTTGATTAGCCGTTAAACAATTATCTGGACACAACATAAGAGGACGAATCAACTCTGTCAGTGAGCAACCATTTGGTAGGCAATGAATATATGAACAGAAGTTAATGAAGATTGATCACAATTATTCCTCTTGCAAACAGAGAACAGGAAATTAAAAGAGTATTACTGGTAGTTGGTGCGGATTGGTAGAGAAACTATGACTTGTAGAAGCATTTGGTGCTTGGAAAATTCATTCTAAGTACCCAAAACCAAGCGAACTCTCATCAATCAAAACCCCATCGGTATTTATAAATGATAAAAAGAACTCACCAGCTGTCATTCTGCTGAACATAGAATCGAATCGAAGATGGACACAATAAAATTAAAACAAAATCAAACACAATCCAAAGCAAGACACAAATAAAAATATATCAACTCCCAGTCCGACACCTACCTTTTGAATCCATCTCCAACACCTCATCTTTTGGTCGGACAAATCCTTGAGCAGAAGAATGGGAGAACGATCCATCTATCAAAAGAGAGAACGAAAGAAGAATTAGCTGCAACGAACACAGAGCCTGTTGATTAGGATTAGGGATGGCAATGAGTAGGGTCGGGTGCGGGTTTACCCTATACCAACTCCTAACCCGCCGGGTAGAGCTTTCTAAAATACCCGACCAAATAACCACCGGGTATGAAAATTATATAACCATACCCTACCCACCGGGTAACCACGGGTATTCGGGTACCCATGGGTACGAATCCTAAACTATGAACTTATACACATATATGCACATACGTACTGTTGTCCATTAAAAATTCTCAATACTTCTAATTGTTCTAGTTTCAACAATCCACACAAATAAAAACAACAAAAACATAATAATTGTTCTTGCTTCTACAATCCACACAAACATAATAATCGTCTACATCATCATCAATAATGGTAGCTAAACTAAATTTCTCAAGCTAAACTAAATTTCTCAAGGGAAATTGACCCTTTAGTAAGCGGGGCGGGTATAACGGGGCGGGTATTATCGATTACCATACCCGTACCCTACCCTTTATTTTGAAACCGGGTATTACCCGTACCCGCCCCTTAACCCGTCAAAGCGGGTAATTATCCTCGTTGACCGGTTACGGTCGGGTAGGGTACCCATGGTTACGGGTTGGATTGACATCCCTAATTAGGATGTTTTTTTAGTACCAACTTCAATATACTCTAATAAAACCCGGCATCTAATTTCTCTTAACCCCCGAGATTCCCTGTTCCTTTTGCTGCATTCAGGCGACCAACCGAGGAGCACTTCTACTATGTTATATAGTATTGGTGCTTTAATGTACCATAACATTAAATGTATAAGTTTAGGTTGTATCATAAAGCAATTTGTATGTTGAAGTTGTACCATCACATAAAAGTACAACAAGTTCAAGTTGTACCATAAAAGAATTTGTACAAAAAGTATAGTTACAATATAAAGTTGTACCATAATGTAAATGTACAATTTTAAGTTATACCATAAAAGCAAAACCCTATATTATCACCAATACTATATAGCATTGTAAAATTTCTCAAACCTCAGACCACCAATACCTTCGACTTTAACGCGTCTCCAATATCTCGTATGGGAAAAAGGCAGATAGGTATTCACGATGAATAAATGAGAACGATAAGAGGAAACAATGTGAATTTAATAGTTAAAAGTTGATGATCGGTATAAATTACCAGATTCAACCGGGTGGCATGCCACCAGCATGACAACCATGGTCCATGTCAATAAAAAAGGAAAGGAAATTGTTTAGCAGCAAACCAACGTGGAGCTCTATCTACCATTCAATAGAAAATATCTCGCCTTCCAATAGCTCTCTCACAGTTTCTCGTTCTAAAAAAGCTCACAGTTTCAATGAATGACCCCAGTCACCTCAAGGGTCTGTACAGTTACCACTGAGAGTCTGAGACATCACTTCCTAACAGTGGCAGCATACCAGCTCCCGGTCAATCCTTCCATCTCTGAAATCGAAAAGCCACCCAGACCCCTTGAACACCGCTCGGAAATCGAAGGGGCAAAAATTGGCATTGGGAACACCAAGCCCACTTGTGGCCAGATGGGTCTTGCTTCTTCCCTCACTGTAGAGCGTCGACCCCACAACCACCTCATTACAATTTACAAGCCTGCCAATCCATCGATCCTCACACTTGTAGGGGCTCCGCGTACAGAGAGATCTCAGGTGATTAACACGTTCGAGAACACCCACCGACCAAAAACAGGCAAACCAGAGGGAAACCACCTGTCCCACCACAACTGAGCGCCAAACTCCCATCCGTTTCCAATGAAACCTCACCATACTCCCACCCACACACAAACACATGCCAGGATAGAACAGTACAACTCAGTCACGTTGTACAGTAAAAGTAGTCTGTGTGTACAGGGTATATAGTGGGATTTCTTCTTCCAATGGATAATCAACACATTAGATGCATATTTGAGTGTTGCAACTAGGCCTGTCCAATTGGTTTCGGGTTTTCGGGTTAAACCGAAGCAACAGTTGGCGGTTTCGGTTTTTCTGTAACCCGAAAACCAATAAAAACCTGAAAAACCCGAAAGCTGTGATAGGAGTAAACGGTGACGTTTTCTGGACCTCTTAGGGACTTAGGGTTCGGGATCGCCTTGCTAGTTGCGAATTGCAACAGAGGAGCATTGCTCTGCTCGACTGCTCGAGACTGCTCGCCGAAACAGAGCCTCCCTTCTCAGTTCAACTTCTCGCCGCCGTCAACGTCTGGTGATATATTCCTACGCCATCAGGTTTCTAATCAGCGTCCCGCATCTGGGTTTGAGTGTGAGCACGGGGAGCCGGAGGGTTTTCCCATGAACTTCGTAGCTGACCACGGATTTCAAACTGTTGCTGCCATCTTCGGCGGGGAGTATTCTCATGCCTAGATGTCGAGTAAGGAGCGAAGCAGCCGGAATCCATGCCTGATCATATACTAGTCTCCTTCTGCGGGAATCGATCAGAGACACCAATTCACGGACAACCCAAAACATCCCGGTGGGCTTGAGAAATTTTGCACCTGGAAAAGAAAAAGAAAAAAAATCCATCGGACCAAAAAAAAAAAAAAAGAGTGCAATCCAATCCCGGGTCAGATTCATTCAATGCGATTGAACTTTAGTATTGGTTGAATTTACCTAGTGATGCTTGGAAAGCATCGTGAAATAGATCGAATATGTCGAAACCATAGCGAGTACAGCTCTGGGATTCCTTGATCAACCCTGGAGGAGCCATTTCCAATATGTGGAGAAAGCTTGTGGAATCTTCCTCCTTCTGATCCTGGACACCACCACCCACGATCTGAAAGTACAGATATTCCAACAAATGCCGAGGTTGCTGATTGATGGGAACAGAATGAATACGATTATTGTTATCATCATCGTGAGAACGCAAAAACTGCAGGGGAGAAAGGTGCTGGTAAACCCTGGAGCAGGCAGCAGAAACAGAGTGCTCTGGCAGCAGAAACAGAGGGATCTGGTTCTCCAGCATCACCGCGTCATTCATCAGGATGGAACCGCAATAACAATCTTCTTGGAGCATCAGCCCGGCCAGGAAGAGGGAATCGAGCGCTAAAAGCGACGCCATAGTAGAATCGAGGACGTCGAGATGGGAATTGTACTGCGCTCTGATCGGTTTCGGGTTCACCCGAACCGAACCAAAACTGCGGTTATTTCTCGGTTTTTTGTACCCGAAACCCGCAAAGCATCTGGTCGGTTTTGGTTTCGGGTTGGCGGAGCTCGGTTTCGGTTTCTCGGTTTTTTACGGTTTTCGGGTTCGGTTACCCGACCCGAACCGACAGCCCTAGTTGCAACTTATTTTATCACACTTTTGAACTCGTCCTTAACTTCGTTGTTATCGCCCTTTTGTGCTAGTGAATTGCATGTGAGCAGGAGCACCAATTATTTCTTTTTCAAAACCCTAGACAGTTAGTAGTTGCAAACCACTAGTCAATTGAGACTTAAAATAAAGAATTTTAGAAAGTTATCTTATATAAAATCTGAAAAAATTAGTAAAAATTTATAAAATCTAAATAATTTTTAGTAAAAACTTAAGAGCAAATGTCCAATTTTAGAGTGTTTTCTAAAAAAAGGTGGAAAGCAATAATTGAGTCCATAAAAGCACTAGTTAACGATTTTGAATATGGAAAGCAATAATTGAGTCTTATATAGATAGAATTTTTGCAATCCAAAATCCTAGAATCTAAATTATCTTTAGAATAAGTATTTTGCCACTAGTGTCTTGGGATCTCATTTGACCAATTATAACTTCTTGATTTGAATATTTCAATTATTTTGGAAAGATGCAAAATAACGAAGAACAAAAAATGGGTATTTCAATTTCGTCTATATTTAATTTTTTATTATTTTTTGATTGACTTACAAAAAAAAAAGAAATAGAAAATAGATAAGAAGATAAGACATTATAATATCAAGAGAAACCAAAATATTCATAAATGTTATAATACCAAGAGTAACCAAAATAATGTACTCATGAATCTAATGTATTTTTACAATAGAACAAGTTCCAAATGTTCTAACTAACACTAGTACACTACTATGATGTTACAATACCTGCTATAACTAATTGCAAAATATGTTAACTAATTGCAAAATATGTTAGTAGTTGCAACCCACTAGTCAATTGAGACTTAAAATATAGAATTTTAGAAAGTTATCTTATATAAAATCTGAAAAAATTAGTAAAAATTTATAAAATCTAAATAATTTTTAGTAAAAACTTAAGAGCAAATGTCCAATTTTAGAGTATTTTCTAAAAAAAAGATGGAAAGCAATAATTGAGTCCTTAAAGGTACTAATTAACGATTTTGAATATGGAAAGCAATAATTGAGTCTTATATAGATAGAATTTTTGCAATCCAAAATCCTAAAATCTAAATTCTCTTTAGAATAAGTGTTTCTTCACTAGTATATTGGGATCTCATTTCACAATTATATCTTGATTTGAATGTTTCAATTATTTTGGAAAGATGTAAAATAAGGAAGAACAAAGTAGGGTATTTCAATTTCGTCTATATTTAATTTTTTATTATTTTTTGATTGACTTACAAAAAAAATAGAAAATAGATAAGAAGATAAGACATTATAATATCAAGAGAAACCAAAATATTCATAAATGTTATAATACCAAGAGTAACCAAAATAATGTACTCATGAATCTAATGTTTTTTACAATAGAACAAGTTCCAAATGTTCTAACTAACACACTAACACTAGTACACTACTATGATGTTACAATACCTGCTATAACTAATTGCAAAATATGTTCACTAATTGCAAAATATGTTATCTAATGTTTATGGTTTACAGGGCTGCAAATGAGCCGAGCTACTCGCGAGCGGCTCGTTCGACTCGAGAAAAGCTCGCTCGAAACTCGGCTCATTAATAACGAGTCGAACACGAGCTCACCTTTGTTCAGCTCGTGAAGCTAGCTCGACTTGGTGGCTTGTTGAGCTAAACTCGTGAGCTGGCTCGTTTAGAGCTCATTATATGTCTTAACATGTGGCTAGAGAGCCAACCTGATTTTAATTCATATGGTTGTTAAATTATATATCTCACCATATCTAAAGTTTAACACGTAGATTATGTGAGCAAATATATCTTATTTTCTACTTTAAAAAGAAATTATGCATCATAGATTGCTTCGATACTATGAAATAACAAGATTTGGAGTAGTTAAAATTTATTAACTAAATGATATATGATACCGACAAAGTATAATATGAGATTAGCTAACAAAATAAATCATATGTATCATGATATACAAAATGAAGTACCAAATAAAAGTCAAGATTTTAATAAACAAGCTAGCTCGGCTCGTTAATAAATAAGCGGAGCTCGAGCTCGAATCCTTTATTAACGAGCCGAGCTTAAGCTAAGATAAAACTCGACTCGACTCGGCTCATTTGCAGCCCTAAATACAACAACATAAGATAGTCAACAATTAATGTTTAGAATTTCATCCATCTGGCAAAAAAATCTTGATTTCATGGACTCCATTAGCGGCAACCTGCATTTTAGTATCTACAAAGAAAATTCATGACATAAAAAGAGAACTCACCGCAGATGAAAAAAGCAGTAGAACAAGCATAGCACATACAGGCAATGCAGTCAAAAGCGCGATTCTACCTAGAAGCGGAAAAGGGGTAAAATCGTAAAACGTAGAATCAAAGCGTAAAAGCGTAAGTTTTTGACGCATACTGAAAAATAACTAAAAATCTATTAAGTAGGACATATGCTATGCAAAATATGAATTCACAGAATTTAGATAAGTTAATAAATACATGTGATTCATGTTTCAAGTAGAGCAACTTATAGCATCTTAATAATAAGTTCGTAAACATAAATTTTAACGATAAGCCACTTTTCCCTCTATGCTAATGAATTTGGGAAAACCCTAGTTGGTGAATTAGATTACTCTATTGAAGTAGAATGCATCCAAGTACCTAGTATGTATCTTTTAATCTCAAATGTATCATATTGTTAGTGATTTAATTTAAAAATATACTTTTTATAATTAATTTCATGAAAAGAATACTCATGTAGTGAACTAAAAGCGTAAAAACGTAAAGCGTTTTGGTGAACCAGAACCGTAAAACCGTAAGTTTTTAAGTTTTAAAGCGCAATTTAGTCCGACTTTATACACTTAAGTTTTTATATGGAAACGAAAGCGTTTTGGTGACCCAAAAGCGTAAAATCGTAAGTTTTAAAGTTTTAAAGCGCGATTTTGACAGCATTGCATACAGGTAGGGGTGGGCATTGGTGCGGTTTGAATCGCACCGCACCATATTGACACAAACCGAACCACAACGCATGTTATTTGGACCGCACCGCATATAGACCGCAATTTAGTCGGTGCGGTCAAACCAAACCGCTTAAATAAGCGATTTGGTGCGGTCCAAACCACACCGCATATTAGACCGCAATGTAATATGAACCATGCACAAATGAATTGATAAGTTTGAATTCGCTTTCTATACAAATGAAAAGAGACCCAACAACATACTGCGTCTGAAGGAACCTTAGAATGATCTGGTGAAACCCATATGCAATCACTCTTGTGATAAGTAATTCGTGTACAGAGCAGTCATGGATGGAAATTTGTGAACCTTGGTCTAGAAGGATCAAAATTGGCTCCGTGTAGAACTAGATTACAGAAATGGCGATAGAAAACAGGAAATACAATGGAAATTTGTGAACCTTGGCCTAGAAGGATCAAAATTGGCTCCGTGTAGAACTAGATTACAGAAATGGCGATAGAAAACAGGAAATACATTATGCATGAAGCTTGAAGATGGATCCCAACTTTTTATACAAGTTCACTCCAAAATGGACAGCAGAGTGTTTCCAAAGATCCACTTGGCCCTGTGCCCCTGTCTAGAATGGAAAAAAGCAGAGCAAGCTTCAACCCCACCTGATTGTCAAAAATGGCGGGAAGGTCGAAAGGGGAGAAGTAATTTGTATCATGAAAGTGAAAGAGCTGAGTTGATGAGTGTTCTTGATTCAGTTGATCCTTGTAAGATTGTTTGTGGTCCTAGCAGGCTTGTTTGGATCCCAAATCCGGAAAAAACTTTCTCTGTTTCTGATCTGTACAGGTACCTGTCGAACAATTTGTTCCCGGGGCTGCCGGAGTTCCCGGCTGATTCTGTTTGGAGAAAATGTATCCCGTCGAAGATCAATGCATTCTTGTGGACTGTCGCGCACAAAAGAATCCTCACCCTCGATAATCTTCAGAAAAGAGGAGTGTCATTGGCGAACAGATGCTGCTTGTGCCTTAAAGACTCGGAATCCATTGACCACCTGCTGGTGGGATGCGAGTACACGAGATGTATCTGGAACGAGATGAAAGAGAGGTGTAACATTGAGATGGATCTTTGCGGCGATATCGTCAGCACCATAGACAATTGGAAGGCGGAGCAACCCTCTGATCCACACGAGTGGATTGCATATTGTGCCCTCCACTCGATTTGCTGGCAGGTATGGCTGGAAAGGAACCACCGCCTGTTCGAAGATAAAGCTATCCCCGCTTCCTCGGTTCTCAGGAAGGCGATGTACGCAATTGTTGAATGGCTCGTGGCTCATGGCAAGATCAGCAGATCGCAAGGGACGCAGTGGATGTGGCCTGGTCGGAATCAGTGATGGATCACGCCTGCTGTGCTGCTGAAGGTCGGTCTTTGTAGGATTCTGTTGTCTGTTGTCGAT